CCCACCACTGAAAGAGGTCACACAACATACTCAACTATGCCAGAGCCCATAATGCCTTGTGGCTGCACACGGAAGTTTCTAGCATGAATAATCTTATGATCCCTTTGAGTCTGGGTGGCGGACCGTAGGAGGATCACACGGTATATCCCCGGGATCTCCTAGGACAACACTGGTATATCCCCAGGTGCCCAAAACAAGCAATCCACCCAGATATGTATTAAAGTTGCCACCTTAAGTTAAACCATTAAATTAACAATCTCACATCTGTCATGGATACACTCAAACCCAAATCCACGTCTACGAGCATAGCATGGCAATATAAGCACAACATAGAAGTAACTCCCAGGAGTTTGATAATAAAACAAGTAATAGGTTCTACCTCATCATCTACTTCCCAAACCCACATGTTAAGAGATCCTACTCATGCAATGTGTGAAGGTTGAACTAATGCATAAAAATTGGGTGATAAAAGGGTATGATCAAAGTGTTACTTGCCTTGCTGATGATCCGCAAAACCTAGAGACTCGTAGTAGCACGCTTCGCACTCCGGGTGTTCTATCGCAAACAAACAATAACATACATAAGAAATCAAGCAAAGATGCATGGATAAATCTCAAATAAGAAGATCTAACCAGAAAGTTCAACTAAAGAACTCCGGTTAGCAAAAAGAATCAAATCAAGCGGAGCAACGAAACTCAAACTGGGAAAGAAACAAGATCCGATTACTAATCTAGACTAAAGTCAAATTTAACAGTACCAAAATCTTGTTCAACTTGATTAAACAGAAAGAGGGCTTCGAGATGAAGATCTAGGCGTTTGAATCGCCTGATTCCGATAAACGAGCGAAAAGATAAACTAAAATGAAAATCGGGTCAGAAATCGCGATCGAAAATAATCGCGAAAAACCCTAGAAAAAAACTAACGAATAGGCTAACGAACGAACGTTCGCTGTCTGTGACTAACGGGTGAACGGCGTTCGTTAAAACGAATGTACGGACGAACGTCCGCAACTTAACCGAACCAAAAAAAACGAAACAAAAACCGATCTAATAAGAAAAAAATGGTATAGGGTTTCTAAAAAAACCGACCGGACAAAAGTCAACGGCGGCGGCTCGGTGGAGATCGGCGACGGCGGGCGGCGGCTCCGGCGGCGGCGGGTGGCGGCGGGCGGTGGCGGCAGCGGCGGGTGGCGACGGCGGCTTAGGGTTTGGCGGGGCACACGGGCTTAGGGTTTGGCGGGGCGCGCGGACTTAGGGTTTGGGCTGGTGGCGGCTCGAGGCCTCGCCTCTTAAAGGGCCGCTCGGGTTGGTGTCCCAGGCGGACACGGCCCGGTAAGGCGATATTTTTTAAAAAAAATCCGCGCAGAAACACAGAGAAAAGAAATACTAAACGGACTCCAAAAATCCTGAAATAAATTTTCCCCGTCCTCTAAAAATACTCCGGACAGGGTGAACATTTATTTGGGCCTCTAATGCAATTTTGAGAAATGCATATTTTCCTAATTCAAATAAAATAGAGATAAAACCCAAATAAAATAACTTATTTGATTTTAACATTTTCCTCTAATATTTCATTTATTTTAGAGAAGTCATATTATCTACTCTCATATATTTTGATATGAAATATTTTCGGAGAGAAAAATAATTAAAACCAAAGTGATCCTTGTTCCAATATTTGATAAAACTCAAATTTGAGAACGAGGAAAAATCCCCAACTCTCTCCGAGGGTCCTTGAGTTGCTTAGGATTTCGAGGATCATAAAATGAAATGCAATAAAATATGATATGCATGAATGACCTATGTATAACATTCCAAATTGAAAATTTGGGATGTTACAAAACATAACCATCATTGATTCAACGAGCTAGTCAAGTAGAGGCAAATTTGCCCGAGATTCGATCATCGGTATCTCAATACCTAGTTCAATCTCATTACCGGCAAGTCTCTTTACTTGTTCCGTAATGCATCATCCCGCAACTAACTCATTAGTCACATTGCTTGCAAGGCTTATAGTGATGTGCATTACAGAGAGGGCCCAGAGATACCTCTCCGATACTCGGAGTGACAAATCCTAATCTCGATCTATGCCAACTCAACAAACACCATCAGAGACACCTGTAGAGCATCTTTATAGTCACCCAATTACGTTGTGACGTTTGATAGCACACTAAGTGTTCCTCCGGTATTCGGGAGTTGCATAGTCTCATAGTCATAGGAACGTGTATAAGTTATGGAGAAATCAATAGCAACAAACTAAACGATCATCGTGCTAAGATAATGGATGGGTCAATAGTCAATCACATCATTCTCTAATGATGTGACCCCGTTAATCAAATGACAACTCATGTCTATGGTTAGGAAACATAACCATCATTGATTCAACGAGCTAGTCAAGTAGAGGCATACTAGTGACACTCTGTTTGTCTATGTATTAACACATGTACTAAGTTTTCGGTTAATACAATTCTAGCATGAATAAAAAACATTTATCATGATATAAGGAAATATAAATAAGAACTTTATTATTGCCTCTAGGGCATGTTTCCTTCAAGCAGCACCATTGAGCGGCATCGTCGGGGCACCTCTTTCCGGGGTGGAGTGAGGAGATGAAGGAGGCGGCTTCTTTGTAGCCGGAATCCTCTTGCTATTGTCGTCGGCGGCCGAGATCGCACAGCAGTGTTGGCGCCCGGAGCGCGGGTCTCCGCGGCAGGGGCTGCTGGATTCCCGCCCTGCACGACCACGTTGCCCTGCCACTTGCGGGCAGGCGCGGTGTTACCTTGGGCGATGGCGAGGCCAACATGGCCGGTGACAAGATCCGCCCGAGGGGAAGGAGTGTGCGCGACCTCGACGGTGACGGGGGATAGCAGGGAGTCATCCATGGCGGCGAAGGACGGCCGGGGAAGATGCACCGGAGCATGTGGTGGCGGGGCAATGGTGTCGGTGGGTGGGGGAGCGGGTCGTCCTCCTAGCCCGTGAATCTAGAGGTTGGGGGATATGTTTTACCACGCCCCGCAAAAATATTTGCGGGCCGAGGCAGGATGTGGGGTCTGGTCGGGCAGGTTTTCCCGCCCCGACCCGCACTTTGGCTGTTATTTTGCGGGTCGGGGCGGGATGCGGGGTCTGCTAGAGATGTTCTAAAATCTCCAGAAATTTAGCAGAGCATCACCTTCAGTCCCTATCATCCCAAATCATGTTTCACTGAACATAGCTTGGTGGAGTTAGGGTGAAATCAGATCAAGCACCTTCTTCATATTTCTAGGGGTTGAGCTTAGCGCTATTCAAAATTCTCCAGATTTCACCATTTTTTACCGTACCCTCTCATTCCACCTCACTCCCCTCCAGTAACTTCCTCCTGACCGATTCCAGTCATTGATGGGTTTCAAAAACATGAACCCTCCTGCCCTAAGCTTGGCCTAGCCATCCTAGACCCCATATATATTCATCAGAAGCCAAGTGTTCAAACCCTTATTCATTTCTATGCTACGTGCACCGGTGCATTGCAGCTTCACCCTAGTCGAGGCCCCCGACCACCTCGAGCTCCTCCTTCTCGCCCACTTGAGCTCTCCACCGTGTTGGCATCCCTTTTCTTCCTCAATCTTGCTCGCTTTCGAGCTCTCCCTACCGCCGTTCTTGGCCAATAGCCGCAGCCAACCCCCGCTACTCCCATGTCCCACCAACCTCGCGCCTCGAGCTAGCTAAGCCCCCCTCTTCCTCTCTGGATGCGGTCATCCGAACCAAGGACGAGCACGTTGCGTGCACTCGAGCCCCACTGATTACCTTTGATCCATCTTCGGGTGTTGATAGTCTCTGCCTTTCTCCCCAAATGTGGCTCTGAATATCAAACCCACAGGAAGGGTGTTAATTGAAAGGTGGTTCTTGAAACCATACTTGTCAAGAGCTGTGAGTGGCTTGTTGACAAGTATGGGCCTAGATGCCTGTGTAGCAAGAGGGGTATTTGAATTACGGTTGTTGTACTGTGTGGTTTATCGAAGAAGTAAGGACACGTATAAACTCACCTACTATTCTTTGCCTCATTCCCTTCTCTCTCGCTCCTCTCGCCAAATCCTCATCCTCCAGTGTGAGTTCTCATGAGATCTTCCGTTGGGCTTAACAACGACCAGACGAAGGGGATGACAACCATGGCAAGGCCAAAAGCCTGATAGCCATTGCAAGACCAAACGCCACCAGTCGTTGTTGGCCAAGTGGTGAGAGTGTGATATTCTACCTCGGGTTTGTTTTGTTGCAGTGAAGTCGAAGCTGCGGTGGCGAGGCCCCTGTGGCAACGATGACATGCAATAGGTGGTCTGTTCAGTGGTCTTCCATGGCCCTAGCCGCATAGTTCTACTTTGGAGCTCTTCTTCAGAGTCGGAGTTGCGCTGCCTTCGATGCAGGTGGCTAGGCATGGCATGGTTCTACTTGTGTTTCCACACAGCCTCTACGATGAGGGTAGGGTCAAGGTTTGTTTTCAGCGAAGTCGGAGTCGCTTGCTCGGAGTCTAGGGAGGGTGATGACGCCTGTTGGGGAGAAGTGATGATGATGACGTCCGAGTGTATCTTGATGAGGTCCTCATTGTTGAGGTGTGTGTAGGGTATTTTTGTGTGCCGCTTTGACGGTTTGTGACGGTTTTAGCCCGATTTTCCGTTAATTAACCAAGCATCTCTCTTCTGCTTATTTAATGGACGAGGCAAAACTTTTGCCTTCGTTTTGAAAAAAAAATCTAGGGTTTGGGGATGGCTTGGGGAAGGGAACGGGCAGCAGGGTGGCTGCTTGGGGGAGTGGCCCTGCCACCATCTTCCGCCCGAAGGACAGCAGCAGCCAGCAGCAGCAAGGGGAAGGGGGCGAGCGGGAGCCCAGGGTTCGGGAGCGGGAGGCTAAACAAAAAGAATATATGATAAACGTGGATAAAAAGGTGAATAAATGTGATAAACTTATAATACATTCCCCAAATTTATTTACTAGATAGGGTACGAAGGAGGTTTGAACTAGGATCCTGGGACCAGACTACGCTGAAGCTGGTATCTTTATCGCCATCATCTGGAGAAGCCATGGTCTATCAAGGTCTGGATCAACGAAGGAGTGTGTAAGGAACTGTTCTGCTTCAAGGTCAAGCAATTCTCTACACCAAGACACCCTGCTTGATGACCGGGAACCGGGCCCTGAGCACCTGCGGAAAAATAGTGACAAAAAGGTTAACTATGTATATAGCACACTAAAAAAAAGGAGTGTGCATTACTTTAATTTGGTTAGTTCGGTTCCATAAACACGGTGTTTGCAGTAAATACATTTTTTTGGTAATTACGGTACCAAGACTTTGGTACGATATGGAAGCAAAATAGAATTCTATTTGAGTAAATATCAAACTGCTTTCAGTTCAAAAAAAATATCAAACTGCTTTGGCAATGTTTCGGTACATACCAAACTGACCAAAGTTGACAAAATTTCAAAAATGTGATGATATATTGACCAGCAGCATAAAACCTAAAACGGTGAAGGATTTTGCAGGAAGCCAAGCGCCCAGTGGAGAGGGGTAGGAAACTGGGAGCAGGAAGCCTTTCTGGGCCTGGAACTTCAGTAATGTACCAGGTTTCCTTTTCAGTTTTATACTAAACTAACCGACCATAGAATGATGAAGGATTTTGCTACTGCAACGAAAACCAAAAACCAGACTAAGCAGACTTCGGTTTGGTTTGGTTTTTGGTTATGTATCAACATGCACAACCTGACTTGATATGCTACGTTCATAGCAACATATGCCATGCATCTCATAGCAGCTGCTAATCGCGAAGAACATTGCAATTAGAATCACTCCTGAAGCATACGTTTAATTGTCTATGAGGGATTTGATGTGAGTGTCAAGATCAAACAGAAGCTATTGTAGCATACAACCATCTGAGGTTCATATAAATCGGATGAAAATTACTAACTATATCTGATGAATCCAGTACCTGTACTCATAGAAGCAAGCGGTTCTTTCATTCTCAGATTTGTCCCAATTATGCCACCCAGTGGCCTTAACACAGCGATCCATAAAAGTGTGCGCAAAGACAACCCTCCCAAAGGGCCCCCATGGCCGACCCAGGAATATATATCCAGCTTCTCCGTTTCCTGTAATAATACACCTGAGTGTGACAACAAGCAGGCGTAAGATATGGCATACTGAAATGCTCAAGCTACATACCAAACTTAGTGATGAGCTAACTAAAGTTGACAAGATCTAAGAATGAGCATGGGATAACTCACCTTAGGAACACGTAGCCAGTCGACTCTGAAGAGGATTTCCGACTATGGGCAGTAATAAATCCCGCTGATTTGCAATGTATATGGCAATGTTCCAGAAGGGCAATAGAGTTACCAAAGATGAAGTCACAGTTACCCTCAATGTAACAGTCTCTCAAGTATTGTTTTCCATAATGTAAATATAATGTATCCTGCATGATTTAAGTCCAAGTTAAAATCACACAAGTAATACTGCTTATTATTCTGATCAATGCAGTGATTTAACCAGGAGGTGAAGAAATATGCATACCTGCCAACCAAGGAACCGGCAACCATAGAAGGCACACTTATCTGCTGTTACCCGGACTGCGACTGCTTGCCCGGATCCCTGTATCACAACCAGAATACATCAACTTCCCACACCCATTGCATGATCATCTCTTTGTGCAAGGAGAATAGGTGAACAACTAGTACCTGAGGAGCTGAGTTCTGAAACGTGATATTCTCTGCAATGAAATCCTCTCCCTCGACAATAACCGTTCCACAGCCAAATGTTCCTGTCCCAATGACCCTGGATGTCTTTATGACAGTAAAATGTACAGTTGGTCAACTAGAGAGATACTAGAATTACTAACAGGACCAAGAATGAACACATTAAACATTTAGCAGAATTGTGAAGTCAAATTTAGGTTAAACTTATCTGCACCAGACTTCTTCCTTTTCCGAAGCATGAACATTAATTACTGTATGAAAAATAATCCTTTGGCTTATAGTTTGCTTAAATTACCCACTTCTCCATCTTCAACACATTATAAGATCATAGAATGGAAGTAGTCATGAAAGGGTGTGACGCAATGGATATTATACCTATATAAATTTCCATCAAACATAGAAAATGACTTGTAATAATCTACTATCTGCCGGCCTGTTGATCATGTCAACGGGAAGGGATGAACGAAAGCATATCAAAGTGGGCTTGTTAGTGCAGAGCAGACCCGTGAGCTTAGAAAAGCATGTAAGCATGTGACATGGAAGCAAATCTTGCAAGCAGGTGAATGAGATCCCGAGGCAGCAATCCAATTCCTCGCAGGGGAATTTCATTGAGCAGGAAGGAGGTAGGGACTAGGGAGTACCTGGGCGTGCTTGATGCGGGTGGCGGTGTTGTCCCAGGAGATGACGGTGGCCTCGGCGGACGCGCCGGCGAGGGTGATGAAGTTCTTGGTCTTGGGGACGTAGACGGGCTCCCGGTACACCCCCGGGGCGAGGCGGATGACGGTACGCTCCCTGTTGCCCAGCGGCACGGCGTCCACCGCGGCCTGCACCGTGGGGAACGCCTCCCCGTCCCCGCCCCCTCCTGCGGAGCCCGGCGGAGCCACGCGGAGCACGCGCCTGTGCGGCTGCGCCATGGATGGATGGATGGCGGCGGTTATGGACGCGCGCGCGGTCGTCGGTGGGCTGGTTCTTGGTCGCGCGTGCGTTTGTTGGGTGTGACAGCGGCTGAAAGTGTGGACCGGGACCTGTGTGCGTGTGAGCGAGGGAGAGACAGAGGCAACGGGGAGCTGTTGTTATAGAGGCGAACGAAACCGGAGCGGTCTGGTGGCCGAGACGACGGTGGGTTTGACTTTGAATGCACCGGGTAGCTTGAGGCTTCTTACTTGTCTGCTTTTTGAACAGGGTGGGTTGACTTTCTCTGCTTCCCTTCCTTGTCGAACGAACAAATATTTTCTTCGAAAAAGATTCAGAGTACGGATGCACGCTCAGAAACATGAAGAAGTAGCATTGTCATTCGGTCGAACGCCGTCTGAGAGAGGGCTAAAATGCTCTTAACATAAATTGCTAGCTGGAGCCAAGGCATCAAGATTTTTCTCCCCACCACGACCGCCGAAGCGGCTAGCGGAGGGGAGCCAGATCCATGTGATCTCTAGCGAAGCCTGTAGGGGAAGAGTTTGCCCTACCCATCGCTTACAAGGGGAGGGGAAGGAGCGAGTTGATTGTCCTCCAATCAATGAGACTAAGCTGGTTACTAAGAGATTTACGCTTGGTTGGAGGATGAGAGTTGATGATGGGAAATGTGAGTAGATGGGATGTGAGATTCAAGTCTCTTCTTGATTCGGTTCACGGAGATGAAAATCCAGACGAAGGGGAAGAAGGGTCTGAGGGTCCAACTCACGTAGTTCTTCAATGCATCCGAGAGATAGGGAATCGTGTCTCTTCAATCGGTGCTAACATTCTGCAGTATAAGACTGCTAATACGCGGGAAAATTCTAGCTATATACCTCCAGCAGTAGTATCATCCCGGCTGACTAAATTCACAGGCGCTAACCACCTCTCGATCTAGAAGGGTGACACATGGTACCAAGAATTGATATAATAGTTCTCCTACTTGTATTTTTGAAATCTTGAAAAATTCCTTGGGAATCTTACTATCTAATGGGCTAGCTTCATCCTCTTGAACCAATGGGACTATATACACTAGTAGAAAAAGGGTCAAACGTGAAGCACATTAGTGTCGGTTTGAATTTGTGCCGGCACTAATGGTACCATTAGTGCCGGTTCGAACGACTATGCATTAATGCCTGTTCGTGTTGAACCTTTAGTACCGGTTCGTGCCACGAACCGGTACTAAAGGGGTGATGGCAGGCTGGCGTCAGGCTGGGGCCCCACGATCACTTTTAGTACCGTTTTGTGGCACAAACCGGTACTAAAGGGCTAACCTTTAGTACCGGTTTGTGCCACGAACCGGTACTAAAGGGGTCTGACCTATAGTACCGATTTGTGACACAAACCGGCACTATAGGGCAATTTTCAAACTTCAAAAAATAAAATTCTTCGAGAGGTAGTTATATTACTACATCTACTAGTTAGGAAAATTTGAAAACTTAAATTTGGACATGTTTTACAAAAAGTGTAGGAAAAATGTAAAACGGCTATAATTTTTGCATACAATGTCGGAAAAAAACGTATAATATATCAAAAAATTCAGCATGAAAATCCGCATCCGATGGAGATAGCCTACGACCTGTTTGCAATTTTTTAGAATTCTCAAATTCCAAAAGGAAAAAAAGATATGGTCAAATTTCAGTTTTTTTTTAAAAAATTGTTAAATCTGGTCAAACTACTTATTCAAGAAGTATTAATGTTACTACATAATTATTCAAGAATATTAGTGTTACTAAATAATTATTTCAATTTTTTGAATTTTGGTCAAACTATGGTCAAACTGTGGTCAAACTATGGTCAAACTTATTCAAGAAATATTAGTGTTACTAAATAATTACTGTTTTTTTAGAATAATAGTTTCAAACTCAAACAGTGAAATATGTGACTTCATGCTCAAGCTAAACTCCTGAGGGTTAATAGGATTGGCATCTTACTATTGTCAGTAAAACAACAAGTGCAGACTTGGAAACGAAGGAGAATAGAACCCGAAAGTTAAGCATGCTCGGGCTGGAGTAGTGAGAAGGATGGGTGACCGGTCGGGAAGTTAGATGATTTGGAATGAGTGATCCACACTTAAGTAGTTAAGAGAGGTGATTAGAGACTAAATCACCAAATAATTCAGAAAAATTAAAAATGGAAAAAAATCAAAAAAAATTCCAAAAATTTCACAAAAAAATAAAAAAAAACCTTTAGTACCGGTTGGTAACACCAACCGGTACTAAAGGTCCCCCATACCAGGGCGCGAGCTCACGCCATGTGGTGACACTTTAGCGCCGGTTCGTGCCGAACCGGTACTAAAGGGAGGGGGCCTTTAGTGCCCACCAATTAGTGCCGGTTATGGAACCGGCACTAAAGGCCCTTACGAACCGGTTTTAAAGCTCCGTTTTCTACTAGTGATATATATATATATATATATATATATATATATATATATATATATATATAATTCTATTGTTCTAGCTTTTCACTATCAGTGTAGATTTATTCCCTTCTTTTCTCTTTGCACTTATTCATGACCAGTTGATTTTGGAATAAAAGATTCTCCCCTTATTTTGTAGATTGATAGCCACCAAAAGGTTGTCCTTTCCCAACTGTATGTGTTGATGTTGAATATATTCGCATGCACATCTACGCAATGATATATGCATGTCTCTTTCAAGCATATTGTATCTATGCAATGCACACATAGACATAGACAGGTCCAAGTTAAGTAAATTCTAGAGATGTGATTTCCTTCTGAGTCGGGCACTTGACTCCCAAACAGGGTACACCTACAATATAATTTAATTATGTACCATGATATACTTACCATATTGCTCTACGTTGTGGTACATATTTTTCATCAAACTTGCTTATATTTCCCTTATCTGAATAATAAGTGATAGTATTGAAAACAAATGCCACTTTGGGCATTATGAATCACCTATAGGTCTGCTCAAAATGACAGTGATTTAAGTAATGAGCATGCATTTGAATGCCTTATATATACAAAATGTATCGCGGGGGTTAAATTTTTAGTGGAAATCCCCACTTATGATAGAGGCCAAGTATCTATTTTCAAGACTATGATAGTGGGCATACATCCTATTTTCTTGGGTGTGGTCTTGATGAAGGAATTGATCTAGTTCGCGGTGATAATTATGTTCTTAAGATGTTGAACATCGCAAAGTGTTGGATCGAAGTAATGACACAGAGCATGAAACTCATAATCCTTAATTTTAATCTTAATTGTAGGTTCCCACTCATCATAAAACTTTCTAGGGATAGAAACTTCCAACTCAAGTTTTTCTTCAAAAGATTTGATCATAGCATCAATGATATGTTTAGTAAAAGCTTTATTTTGATTATAAGCATGAGGAGAATTCAACATGGATTGCAACAAGGAAATACAATCTATCAAAGAACAATTATCATAATTAAAATCTTTGAAATCCAAAAGAGAGGGTTCATCGCTACTTAAAGTTTTGACCTCTCCAATCCCACTTTTATCAATTTTTGCATTAAGATCTATAAACTCCGAATCGTTGTGACGCCTTTTAACTAAAGTTGACTCATCTCGAATCCCATCTTTATCAAGATTTATATTAGAAAACAAAGATTCAATATGAGTCACATCAATCACTTTAAAATCTTCATCATTATTTTTACAAAAACTAGAAGAACACGCTTTTACAAACCAATCTCGCTTAGCCTGCATCTTAGCGTTTCTTTCTTTGCACTCATCAATAGAAATTTTAATAGCTTTCAGAGATTCATTAATATCATGCTTGGGTGGCATAGATCTAATTTTCAAAGAATCAATCTCAAGAGAAATTCTATCAACGTTCCGAGCCAAATCATCAATCTTGAGCAATTTTTCTTCAACCATAGCATTGAAAACTTTTTGTGAATTAATAAATTATTTAATATTGTTATCAAGATCAGAGGGCATATTATTATAATTTCCATAAGAATTGTTGTAGGAATTACCATAATTATTAGAGGAATTACTAGGAAACGGCCTAGGGTTGAAATTACCTCTATACGCGTTATTACCAAAATTGTTCCTACCAACAAAATTCACATCCATAGATTCATTATTGTTCTCAATCAAAGTAGACAAAGGTATATCATTAGGATCAGCAGGAGCAATCTTACTAGCAAACAATTTCATAAGTTCATCCATCTTTGCACTCAGAGTATTAATTTCTTCAATCGCATGCACTTTTTTACTAGTAGAAGATCTTTCGGTATGCCATTAAGAGTAATTAGCCATAATATTATCTAGTAGTTTAGTAGCTTCTCCTAATGTGATTTCCATCAAAGTACCTCCCGCGGCTGAATCTAAAAGTTTTCTAGAAGCAAAATTCAATCCGGCATAAAAAAATTGTATGATCATCCATAAACTTAAACCATGAGTAGGAAAATTTCTTATCATCAATTTTATCCTCTCCCAAGATTATCCAACATGTTCATGATCAAGTTGCTTAAAATTCATTATATCATTCCTAAGGGAGTTGATTTTAGTGGGTAGATCTTCACGAAGTAGGCGATCTCCTTGCCCTTACAAACTTCTTGGTTCAACTCCACATCATGTCGGGGGCTCCCAAGCGACACCTAACAAATCTAGGAGACACCACTCTCCAAAAGGTAATAGACGGTGTGTTGATGATGAACTCCTTGCTCTTGTGCTTCAAATTTGGCTATGGTGGAAGAAGGATTTGAATGGAAAGCAACTTGGGGAAGGTTAGAAATCAAGGTTCAGATGGTAGTAATGGAATCTCTTGATCTCAACACATGAGTAGGTTCTTTCTCAGAAAATGAATGGTGGAAGTGTAGGCACGTTCTGATGGATCTCTCTTATGAGAAGAAGGGGTGGAGGGTTATATACAGCCTCCACACAAAATCCAACCGTTACAAACTTTTGACCCATCTCAGTGGCACCAATTAGAAAACTTGGTGGTGTCGATCTGTACAAAAATATGAA